GTGAAATGGTGCAAAGATTTTCAGATTTAAAGGTGAGGTTCCATAGATTATACTCAGTTTGATATGTTCTATTCTGTTGACTATCAAGATGCATGTATATGGGGAGCACGGAAGTTCCATTTTAATGATAACATGAACTTGAGCATATTGCACATATTCCTTACATATATAGATGTAATAAACACGTTTCGTGAGGAATTACTCTCTAGGTTGGGAATTAAAAACGCTAACCAATTGTTATCCAACACGGCGGAGTGCCAAGCTATTCCGTGAGTTAGAGTAATTTATATATTTTCGTCTCTGCATCGCGTCTATGAACCGAATGCTGATGTATCATAACTCCGTCTACCGGATAATCTAAATGCTTTCGCTGGCCCAAAAGCATCTAACACAGTGGGCCGTCGTTTCCCTTGTTAGGTTGTGCATAATTAGGTTCTCTGGCTCAGGTCACATGGCCCCACTGATCCACGGGATCGACGTCCGTTCGTGAGCGAGACAAGTTACTCGACTGAGATCTGTGCCAATTTTGCACGGGAAGAGCGTGGGAAGTCAGGCGGTCACAACGGCCACTTGTCTGTCAAAGAGGCTTGTGGCCAGTCAACCAAATGAAATTCACCATACCGATATGGAAACCAACCATTGCGTTCGGTTCTCAACTTAAACTTCTGGTTTGACAAATCTATGTGGTAATTTCTCAAGTCAGTTTGGTAGTTTCTCGAATCAGTCTTAAAATGGTATAACTACAAGACCGTAACAAATAACCTTGTTCTCGGTCGCTTCATCGTTTGGCTAGTACAGTTACCTATATATGTAGTGTGCCAATCAGTCTATATGGTCCACTAAGTTACTATCAACAATATCTAAGACGACACCAGCAAACTAAGATAGGCGGAGGAGCGTGTTGAGAATGAAAGGCCAAAAGGGTGTCGCATGAAGCGAAGTGCTCCTCTGTTAGGACCACCGGTTTCATGACCTTATGGACTTCAGAACAGCTGGTTACACGTTGGTATCCATTCTCCGATAATCTCGGTCTCATCGCAACTTTCACTGGCGAGAATTTTGTCAGCATGCAAAAATACGGCCTATACAGTCAGGCTGGCGCTCACATCCCAAGTGGATTTTTTGGTAATTTGTCTACTGACAAGCACAGAAGTAGCCGAATGCAGTATGTGGTTTAAAAGGGCTTACGGAACTCTCCAGAATTTTTTTTCACGGCTTAAAAACTCTGTACATTAGAAATTAAAATGAAACAAAAGATATGACACAAACTCACAGTTGTCCACCGTTCTTGTAATCGGGATGTGAGGGCTAAAGAACCAATGTCCGCCAGTATTTTCGGTTCAGTTCAGTCAGTCGAACCTATCAGGATGGTACTGAGATGAGGGCCAAGCGACAACGTGGAAGACTCTAGAATGGTTTATCTTTCACAGTTAGATCTGACTGATATAGTTGCAAGACACTCCAAATCAAAAGGTGAGGCTGTGCCAGAATGAAAGATTTATTGGTCGATGTGCACTGCTGACCTCCCACGGTTTCCAATGGCGAACTGAGCGCTGATAATGCACGATGAATCATATTCTGTAAATCCTGAATGCGGTGAAGCATAAAGTCAGTTTCACTGGGACAAAAGTACGGCCACCCATTTGGGCGAATAGAAGAGTATATTTTCCTACTAACTCATACTTATGCCTCGGTACAAAGTGGATTACTAACCGTTGTAGCCCACTGCTACGCTGTTCTTCGAAGCAGGTAGTGGTTAGAAAGTAGGTCGAGGTGGACAGTCGAGGACATGGCAAAAAGGTATGAAAACCTTGACCGGTGGACCTGGCCAAGCAGAACGTGTTTGAATTCCGGGTTGGGGTTCATGTGATCCGCCTACCAGATGTCTGGAGACATTAAGTGATATGACTGGGTGTCGCGGCCAGTAGTGTGGTTGAATTCGGACTCTTCCTTTGTCTTCGTGATATCCACTTATCACTTTGATTTTTGAGTCCTTTCCACTTGATGCTTCTATTCTTTCTGTCCTTTACTGGGCGACGCCGGAAGGTAGCAGCCGAAACCAGAACGCAGAACGTCTAGGTTAGTGGTTGTATAAACTGAAACTGCTACCCCAGGTATAGCCATCGATCGCGCTCAACAACCCCCCCCCCCCCCCCACGCCCGAGACTTGGAGTAGAGCACGAGAGAATTTTGAGAAGATAGGTGAAGCGAAGAATTCTTTTCAATTATGCATTTTAAAGCCACTGTACTAATATGGGTCAGAACAAATGATTAGGAAAGTTATTTTTCAAAAAGGGGAAAGAAGTGATCATTTTTATACGGTAAACATCTGTTTAATTGTCGGTGTGATCCCATTGTTCGTGCTGACGATTACACTCCTCATCGGACCGTCGATTATGTCGTACGTTGTGAAGACGGCGTTTCTCTTAGCAAAAGTCGGAGTGATGGGTTTGTGGGGTCCCTGCCTCGGCTGTGCACAAAATGACACTTCTGGTCAGATTCTAGAGTTTGAGCTGAGCTTGACAGATAACCATGAATGAATCGTCATTATTCCCTGAATGCTCCGTGTTGACAAAGTGTGCCACAATGGAACCCGGAATGACCTGCGTTACTCCTTGCTTCCGTCACGCAGGATGATGCTCTTGTATTCTCTTGACCAACTGTCGACTGATATGACCAATATAACTAACGCCACACCAGCAGGTGAATTAGTAAATGCATATAGACGTGATGGACCGCGGCAGTCCATCTTGGAGTCATTGTTAGATGATTGAATGCACTGAATGGAACATCCTTATTCGGCGATACTGAAAGTAGTTTGAACTGCGTTCGAAATCTGTTTTTCTAACGAGTTCGCTACAGCCGTCACTTAAGAAGTGAAGAGTACCAGTTAATTCCTTCTAGGAGCGGTGTAGACTTCAAGCCCCAAAAACGTTTTTTCAAGATATAATTCAGCGGGGTCGTCAAGATATCCGGTCTCTTGTTGCGGGTTGCGTATCTTCTTCCAGTTCAGTTTCCAGTGTCATGCTCGAATAATTCTTCCTGACCCTACAAAGCAAATGGACACGGAGCTATGAAAGTTCACATATTGTTCAGTCCAGCTCCATCGATTTCACAACAAAAACATCCGTTGCTCAGGCATAAAAAATTGAATGTGCAACGCAAATCAGATCCTTCAAAATAGAGGGGGACTCTGGGTGCTGCCCCTCCGCATAGTCACAGGGATAGTCGACTATCTCCAGAACTAACACGTTAGTGAATGACTAATTGAAAGCTAGAGAAAAATTCGTCTTAGTCACTGCAGCAATAGTGGTTGGTTCGTGACCGACACACAGCCTGTCCATCCTAGCAGACCAATGTCATCAAAATGGGTCACGGGATGTACAAGCAGAACCTGTCCAGTATGGGGCCCAAGGCTTGAGACAAGAGAAACCCGAACGACAGGATAGCCGATCGGTGGAGTGGATCGACAGAATGAGAGACATATCCTGTCAATCGGTGTTTAGTCTCCACACAAGCCGAGTGGAAGGTTTGGTCATTCGCACCAGTCGAACCAATACGTCTTGTGGAATGATTGAGTACAACGCTCTATATAATCATCATATTTTACGGTAATAAAACGAGAATGTTTGCGTTCGTTCGTCCTGTTTATAGTAAGACGACACTAAACAGTCACACCAAGGAATTTGGATCCTATGACCCGGAATGCGTCATGCAAGCTGATTTTGCTCAAACGGTTCCGTACGGGTTTGTCCGAGAAAGTCCCAACAGGTCGGGCGTAGTAACAATCCGAGAAACGGTGAAATACTATCTACCACAAAAAACGGCAACATCTGCCGAGATTCAGGCTTCGATCCGAGGACCTGATGGCCAGAGGCTTGTGCAACATGACAAACACCACCGGTAAAGATGATGTGAACGGAATAAAATGTATTTTGATTGAAACACGAGGTTGACGCGAGGACTGATGTTGTTTGGAAGCCAGTAGATTGGCAATAGTATAACGTTGCATTGAAAGCAGTAAACACCACATGTACAGGCGCAAGTAAGCGTAGATTTTGAGTGGGATATCGACCGGCTGTCCACGTGACTACTTAGGTTATACACAACCAGCAAAATGGCCAAATATGCTTCAATTAAACTTGAGTGAGCCAGACAAACCCATAGGAAGTTTCAGGCGTCTAAACCACATCCATAGTCGTCAAAGAAAAAATCTGATAGCTCATGAGCATATAGATGTTCGAGTGCAGCTTAGGAACTTGTCTTTTATCCGGTCGCAAGGCGAATTACCAACGAAATCCTCTCTATCGAATGAATAGAGAAGAATCAAGTCGGCGGACGGATGCGAGAGTGTATTCCATATATCGTGGTACCGAAACAGTACCGATACGAGAAATATACGAAATGCAAACGAACGCCACGGTGAAGCAGAAAGCGAGTGCGTGTATATTCGGTGACAAAACGAAAGTAGAAGTGATTCAAAAACGAGATCTACGGAAACCTCTGAAACGCCAGTTCAGTTGACCGTACGCAACCGAACAAAATGATAAGGTCAAAACCAAGCGTCAGAAAAGATCGTAGAGAAAATAAATCCAAAATAGTGTCCAGAAAACAGTCATCTTCTCAGCACATTCGAGGTCGCTACAAGCATGCGACCGCTTAGCAATGGGACTGGACAGATATCGAGTGTCTCGTGAATCCTGTTACGAGGAATTAACGCAGTACCATCGTTTTGAATTCGGGTTTTAGCATTCCGATCAAAGCTAGTAGAGTGACACAATTGTGGCCGGTTTAGGCAGTTTTTCACGGAATCCCTTGTCTGAGGTGATTGTCTAGCTAGCCGAAGCCATCGGATTGTGATGTTTCTTCATATAAACTTTCAAAACCTTCAGGATCTGAGATTTTTTGTAGGCGAACATCTATCTGGTCACAGAATGGTGCGAGGGTTTTTAGTCTGAACTTTTTGGAAACTCCTAACTTCACACAATGTAACGAGAAAAATGCATATTGATTTACGAATATGCTGTCTCCCTCTTTCTCATCTCCGCACTTTCACGCATGCCCAGGTGGAGCCTGACGTCCAACATACAGAGGTGACCGTATCCGAGACAACCAAAACGGTGGCCAAATTGAATGAGCATGAAATCGAGGAGATTGTAAGTCAGTTGGAACAACCCCAGGCGATTCCAGTGCCGAAGAGTACCGTGCGTCGTGTGAGCAGTACACCAAATATTCAGGTTAGTGCAAGGTGGCCGAAAATTTTCACTGGTTCGATTATTTCAATCATACGGATCCAATGCTAACAATGTTTCAATTCCTGCCAGTTTTGTTTACTACGGTTAGATCACATTTTGAATATCCGTCTCCATCTCAGACATCGAATATCTGGACAACATAGTTCTTCCAAGCGAAGATCCAAAGTAGTTGCAAGCTTTCTGAACGGCACGAATGCTTGCGTTGTGCACCTTCAGAATGCAAGATACCTTTGTGGTACTCGGTCTGGTCGAGTACCAAAGTCATGATTATTTGGACAAGTTCTATCATTTAGACTGTTGTATGTCACTCGAAGGACGGATATCGGATAAAGTGTTTTCGCGTCAACGGAAGGTGCGTTTGGCTTTTGTCAACCTCAGTGGTGTGTGAGTAAGAACAGACACGTTTGTTCACCAGGAGTTGCTTGTACCCCTCACCAGTTAGGCTATTTCTTCTTTAAGATTCAGAATAGTGGTCATTGCAGTTAGAGGATACAAGCAAATCATCCGTATTCGAACACCGGTGTTTTCGTAGTATTGCGCGAACCCGGTGATAGTAGAAAAAACGCTAATGCCCACCAGGCTTCAGTAGTTTGTGCGCAATTTTCATACTTTAGGATGAAATTCCCCGGCGTGCCACGCTCGCCGAGTCAGGTCAGGACTGGAAGACGGGTAAGACTGGCCAGTTCGTGACATGGAAGAAAGGCACAAAACACCAGGTCAGTGGTCTTGGCGGTTCAGGCTTCCTGGGTCGGTTCTGTAGCGTACTATTCTGTCTATATGGTACATTAAATGAATGTCAACAATATCTAAAACGACACTAGCAAACTAAGACGGGCGGAGGAGCGTGCTGTGATAAAAAGGCCAAAAGGGTATATACATTAAGAAGTAAAATGAAACAAAAGGCGTGACACAAACTCACAGTTGTTCAGTGTTCTTGTGATCAGGAAATGAGCGCCGAAGAGCCAATATCCGCCAATGTCTTCAGTTCAGTTCGGTCTGACAGCCATCCATTGAACAGAACAGGATGGTATTGAGCGAAGTGCCAAGAGACGCCGTTGAAGTTTCTAAAATGTTTTGTTTCACTCAGTTAGTTCCGACCGATATAATTCCAAGACACTCCAAACCAGAAGATGAAACCGTGCCAGAATGAAAGATTTATTTACAGCCTTTTTGTATTCCGCGGTGATGACGACCAAAAGGTGTGTGTGTTTTACATTAAAACGTCGGTACAACAAAGGAGTGTCGCACCAAGGGACGTTGAAAATCATGGAAAGATTCGGAAATGTACAGGTACCTACACAACTCCCCCGCCAGAGCGTTTGTTGTACAAAATAAACGCTCGATAGAAAAATAGAAAGAGGAAACGGTTAGCGAAAGAAAACGTCAACTAACAAAGTCTTGAAATCTGACAGAATGTCGAACGTTTCTGCCGGAACGGCGGGTTACCAGGGCTGGTTGTTGCTGTGGTGGTGCTGGCGGGTGTGGTGTAGTGTCTGGTGTGATGATAGAGTGTGGATCATCAACAGGAATTGTTGGTGGTGTGTCTGTGGATGGTGATGGTGTCTGTGTTGCTGGTGATGGAGGTGTATCAAAATACGCGGGTTTCAATCTGTCAATGGAAACAGTGTCTGGCTTATCGGCTTTCTGAACCACGAAATATTTGTCTGTGCGACTAAGTACCTTAAACGGACCGTCATACGGTGGCGTGAGTGGTTTACGAACAGCATCGTTACGAATAAAAACGAAAGGTGACGTATATAGATCATTATGTACAAAAACGTGTGTGGATGACGAGCGAGTGGGTATTGGACGAAGATGTGAAATACGGTCTTTGAGTTGTTGGACAAACTGGGATGGGTTAGGACTGGCAGCAGTGCTGGGTTGAACATACTCACCTGGAAGGCAAATGGTGGTAGCGAAAACGAGTTCAGCCGACGTGCTGTGGAGGTCGTCTTTGACTGATGACCGCAGACCCACGAGAACTAGTGGCAGGTTGTCGCTCCAGTTACTGGGGTTTGGCTGTGATATCAGTGCTGCTTTGAGTTGACGGTGTAGGCGCTCTACCATGCCATTGGACGAAGGATGGTATGCAGTTGTTGTGATGTGTTTACAGCCAAGTAGTTTAATGAACTCACGAAACAAAGTCGATTGGAATTGGCTGCTACGGTCTGTGGTGACGGTAGACGGTACACCAATCCAGTGTTGAAGTAGTACTTTCGCAATATTTTCTGCCGAGGTGTCGGAAATGAGTATTGTCACCGGCCAGCGTGTGAAACGATCAACAACGGTTAATATGTGGGTATGTCCATTTGATGGTGGTAGTGGACCAACAACATCGACGTGAATATGTGTGAAACGGACGTCGGGAACGGTGAAAGTACTGGGAGGAGAAGAAGTGTGGCAGTGGACTTTGTTTCTCTGACATTGTAAACACTGTTTAGTCCATAATGCAATGTCAGAATCATACTGGGCCAAACAAATCTGGTAGAAATGAGTTTGCGAGATGCACGAATACCAGGATGGGAACGAGAATGAAAATGATCGAAAACGATCTTCCTGTAGGAAGTTGGAACGATAGGACGAGGGTTACCTGTAGACCAGTCACATAGGACTATGCCATCGGCTGAAGGTATGGGGGAATTTAGTCTGCACCGTGTTGATGTCAGGTCTGGATAAAGCATCAGCCACAACATTATCAACTCCACGCACGTAGCGGATGTCTGTTGTGAACTGAGAAATATAATCCAAATAGCGGATATCTCTGGGTGAATGTCTGTCAGGCTTGGCATGAAGTGCGTGTGTCAGGGGTTTGTGGTCAGTGTGCACACGAAATTGTCGTCCTTCCAAAAGGTGACGGAAATGACGGATGGACAAGTAAATAGCCAGGAGTTCACGAGAAAACGTGTTGTATCTTGTCTGTGCCGCCTGGAGTTTTTTTCGAGAAGAACGCTAAGGGCTGTAACTGATTGTCCACAATTTGGTGAAGCACTGCACCGACTGCAGTATTTGATGCATCAGTAGTTAGGATTAACTCAGTATTTGGATCCGAATGTGGATGATGCAGCATGGTGGCATCTGCGAGAGCTTTTTTGGCTTCTGCAAAAGCTGTCTCGGCCTCGGGAGTGAAATCGATCGTCTTGACGTTGGACTTGAGAAGATCGGTTAGAGGTGAAACAATGGTCGCACAATGGGGAATGAAGCGACGGTAGTAGTTCAAAATTCCCAAGAAACGTCGTAACCGTGTGATTGTTTTAGGTGCAGGAAGTGAGAAGATGCTGCGCACCTTATGTGGGAGGGGTGTCAAACCGTTTTGATCGATATGGTGCCCGAGAAATTCGAAGGACGGAACGCCGAACACGCATTTACTAAGGTTCAGTTGAAGTCCGTATTGTTGGAAACGCTGAAAGAGTTGACGCAGGTGAATGGCATGCTCTGATGGAGAGGCGCTGGCAATTAAGGTGCCGTCGATGTAGCCAAACGCGAAGGGTAGACCTTGAAGCACTTCATCGACGAATCGTTGGAACGTCTGAGCAGCGTTTCTCAATCCAAATGGCATGCGTATGAACTCGAACAGGCCAAAAGGCGTGGTGATGGCTGTCTTGGGAATGTCTTCTTCGGCCACGGGGATTTGGTGATATGCCTTTACGAGGTCAACCTTGGAAAAGATTGTGTTCCCAGAGAGATTCTGTGCAAAATCATGAATGTGTGGAATCGGGTACCTGTCGGGAACGGTGACGTTGTTGACAGCACGGTAGTCTCCACAGGGTCTCCAATGTTCCAAGCGGTTCACTCACTGCGGTGGTTAAAGAGATTGTAGGGCATGACCGTGGTGTATTCACACAGGTTCTTCATACGGCTGATTTTTTTGTCAGCGGCTGATTTGATGGTTTTGATTTTCGAACGATGTTCTTGCTGTAAAATGGTGATCAGACCAACACAATCAGTCCATACTCCATGGTTGTTCAAAATGATTTGAAATGAGCACCGTCTAATTTGTGAAAATGCAATGTTTCTACTAGTCCGACCGCATGTTACATATGTGATTGAGCGCAGTGTTCATTTTTCATCAGTGGTTGTTGAGATTTCCGTACAGTTGAGCTGATTCCTCTTTTTTTGAATTCTAATATTCTTGTTTGTTTCGATATGGTCTTGAAAGCCCCGGTTTTTCTAAACTTCAATACAGTGTGTTTTATGTATGATCAAAGCTTTAAAAAGTAAAGCGGGGATACTTAAGACATGAATTCATCTACCTTTATAGCAATTTGTTCTTTCTGGTCACTTTATGGCAAATGACATGTCGTCAGTGACAACGATGTCAGCACTGTTGTATTCGGGATTACTGAAGAATACACTAAGCAAAAAATCAGTTTATTAGCGCATGAGTAAGCAAGTGAATCATCATACGCAAATTCCAGCAGTACATACGACCGTGTGCGACCAAGCAGGGCTGCTCAGTAGCAACGAAACAACAGTGGTTTAGTGCCGAAGTCTAATTGGTTGGCGCAAACCGTACGTGATATGGGTAAGGTCACATTAATGGGCAGTAACTCGCCGATCGATCGATAAGTTTGTCAGTACCATCAGTACTGGGACCAGACAACATCAACTTCCTCCTCAATTCCGATGTTAAATATGGAATCGGATGGGACATAACATGGTAATCAGAAGCGGAGCTGGTGGTCGTTGCTTTAATCATAGTAGCAGCTGTAACGGTAGCAATAGCACTCATACAGTGTGACACAGAACGTAGTAAAGCGAATCGACATTTACAGTATCAGCAAATAGAAAAAAGAGGACAAGCAGTCACAACCTACATAGTACACAAAAATAAGCTCCGGTCACGTGCCCGAATTGGGTTACCGCAGGACAGCCTAGTGTGTCAAAATGCGGAGTCGAAGATCTTCACTAGGGTTTCGAAGAAAAATTCCTCCTGCGGTTCGAACGGTGAAGAAAACGAATTCACTTGGAAAATTTCTACTGTTTCCTGTGAAATGCCTTCTTTTTATGCTATTCATCCTGTGTTTCGATTCTAGATGGGTCCAAAGAGACACGCGTATTCGTGGTCATGAAAAGCTATCTCCTGATAAGAATGATAACTTTAATACGGACAAGAATAAGTTTTGAGTGAGTAGAAATGAGCTTACACAATCCTTCTCCTTAGTTAGCAGTCAGATATGAATAATGTAATGTTTGTACAAACAAAACTTGGTTATCTAATGATCAGCATCGATTAGTACCTAGAAATTGTATGCTGGTGTACCACTGTGGTGATTCAGCAGCTGTCACACGTGATACGGTCAGGTACAGCTTCGTAACCACGTACACGGATGAGCCTCAACCGATCGGGATCGCCGCGGACAATTCCGACAAAAGCTCCCTGTGATTGGTCATCTTTGAGCGTACCAATTATATTCTCTAATTAAACATATTTATACTAACCTACTCTATAATACAATTAACGTGCTATTTCACGGTCTTGGTCTTCTTGCTACTTCCGTTCGCGTAGTTCTGTGTGGGGGGGGGGTGCAATTTCGATACGGACTATCAACTCAGTTCATTGCGACTATTACTACAACCTAGATAGCTTTCGGTTACAAAATATCGTCCATTTCTCGGTAAGTTTACCCTTCAAATTCAAAATAAATGTTTTTTTTTAAATCACATCTGAAAATAAGGGGCTGGGAGAACAAAGCTGTCAGCTAAGTGGCAGTGCATCTATGGGAAGCTGAAAATTGTAATTCAACAAGCTGCTTAGGTGTAGCTCGAGTTTGCCTCGAGGAAAGGCAGTAGACAGCGAAACCAGCAGCGGGAAGACACGTGCGCAAATATCGATCTGTAGTCCTTAAAAGGCAAAGAAGCATTCAAGTACGACAGTGCACAGTGCATGGACGCTAAACAGAATCGATATCCTCTGGTAGAATGTCTCAAGAACTTTAAATCAATACTATAAAATGGAATGGAATTTACAATCGATCCTATTCACCCAAGTGTGGTCTTCCTGATAACAAAACGACTAGCGTCTAAGAGATACGTGAAACTTAAAAATCTCTTGCAATTTGTCTACAATGAAAAGATTAAACGTTAGACGAGCCGACTTGATAATTATCACCAACTATGGGGCAAATGGAAGACACTTCTTACTGCAACAGGTGACTTAGTTAACGTTTTGATAGGAGATCAATATGTATTTGTACAATGACAATGATAATGATTCGACTGATTGCGCTAATTTGAATTAGATTTATCATGAAGATACTGGTGAATAATGGTAGTATTATATCATGAATTAATGGATAATTCCACTTCACTCATTTGAACTCACCTGTTGATAAGTTGAGACACTGATCGAATTTACCGTTGTTATGTGTTGTACTACTTTGACCTTGAAATGCTTGTCTTGTTGATTGTTCGGTTACTGCGGCTTCAGCTGCCTAATTCGGAGGTGTTCGGAATCCCAGCGAAACCAGGAAGTGCTCGATCGGAAAAGTCAACCTTGACCGGGTTGGACGACGCGGAACTGTTCGAGGAATGCGCGGAAGACGACGAGCTTGGTCAATATGACAACGATGGGACGGGATTCACCAATAGCACTACCGTAGCAGATAGCACTCTGATCTCTGGCAGTCGAGGGAATGTGGCAGCTAGCACCGATTCGATCGCGGATATGGGAGCCACAAGACCGTTGTTGCCGCTAAAACTACCCGACTGGGCACTTCAATCCGGTCAGGTCGAGCGCGGTTTCCTAGTCTTTTCCATGCGTATCAATCGAAAACCGGGAGGCGGGTCGAATTGGTTTCTCATGGACTTGTGCATTCGTGAGGCCCGGTGTATTTTGAGCCATCACACGGAAGCGCGTGCTGGTAAATTCTACGTCAAAGCACGGATTCAACCGACGGGTAACTGAACAATTTGATTCTCAGCGGTTCCGCTTATAATGACTTGAAGAACGATTGACGTTGAGAAACAGTAATGGAAAATTTTTAACAGATTGCATATAAACTGTTCACAGTTGACATCCAGGTTACAATTGGGATTTTGGAGGTATTTTTCTGTTAAAATAAGGCGAGATAGGTACCACGCTCCAATAGTCAAGTTTATTTTTACGGGATACAGGTTTGTTGATTGATTCTGGCGCTGGAAATAAAATGTCAACAATTATTCAGTACCTTTGATGGAAAACAATCTAGACCTTTTGATTAATCACTTTCATTTCTAATGAATTCCTTGCATATTCACCTTCTGTGTTGGAAGAAATTAATGTGCCGTCTGACCAATAATTCCGGTTAGTCTTCAAACTGGTCGAATCCCAGTTTTTACTACTGAGACGGTCTTTAGTAGATCATCTTTGATCGAAGGAACAACTGTATCATTTTCCACTAATTTTGTCTATCACGCATGTGATCCGTATCTTCCAAGTTGAAAAACAAGTACACTATTCGCCTAAAAACGCCTCCCCCCGAAAGCATAGTGAAATCCCTTATTGAAGTCAAATTTTTTTTTGTTAACAGAATAGTGGTCGTTTTCGAACAGTCACTCATCAGCGTACGGCTGAGCCACCTTTGGATGATATAGCAGATCTGACCCGCTACTAACCGTCTGATAGGGTCTTATGCCATGCGATCCCATTCATCCCTGAAGGCTGTCGGAGATTTTTACTGCTTTTTTCTGATCCAATTTCCTACCAAGCTGATACCGTAAAATCCGACTGGACTAATATCAAGAGATCGAGTTGGCCACATGAGCATCAGTGTAACGTGACGTGCAGTAAGGTTAAGACAAGGGAACTATATGCACGCGCGTTTTCGTCCTGGAAGATCACTTTGGTAGTTGTGGTCAGAAGGCGCAAGATGTGTCGGGTCATGTGATGCTGCCCGGAAATACCAGCTCGCTCCGACCTTCCCACCAGATGCCTCCTCCGACAGGCATTGAATCTACGTTGTGCAGCATTGTTGTAGCCATCATACCACTTTTATTAGCTTCAGAGATTTGTTTCCAAGCTGGCCTTCGACGATCGTGCTTGTATAACGTGAAAACCGACTCATCGTCCCAAATGGTGGGTTTCCATTGTTGAACCGACCGATCCATCTGCTCATTGTCTGTCTTGTAAGAACAAAATACTTGATAATCTCGTGATTCCCTTGATCCCCGTTTTTTGATGGCATGCCAGATGACCTTCACCTTTGTGAACATCACGTGAACGAGCTGTCAGACTGGAAGGTACACACAGGTGTGTATCTGACCTTTATAACAAAACTCATGCAAGGGCAGACCGTATGACGTAAAAGTACACCAGTGTTGGGCTTGTTCGAAATATTCCGAACCGAGGGTGTTGAGCCTCAGGACCGTAGCTCATGTAAGGGGAGCGTATTTTGGCGAATAGTGTATACTCAGATTCCCGTGCCATCGTAGTTTCGCACGGCATTTTTGCTCTCGTTATCAGTTAAACACAGTTCAAATGGTTGCGAAATCCACTGGACATAGAAACCAACTGACGCATCATACGGCAGCCCCATACCTCATCCGCAATCAACTGGGTTCGATTTTTACCCGGTGGTGGAATTCTTCACCGCAAAACTTGCAAGACATGAGGCTTTTCTCATTAGAAAAGAGAAGACTCAAAAGGAACTTTATTGTAGTGCTCAAAATCCTAAACGGCCTTGGTAGGAGCTGATGATATGTTTGCACAGGCTACTAATCACAGAACGAGACGAAATAGTACAAACTTTGGGGTTGAATCTGCCGTGCCCACTTGACGATCCCATCTGACCATTTTCACTGGGTTAACATTCGGCTTACTAGGATCGATTTTTGTGACTAATTGATGACCTCATCGGTCAGTGCGCCTAACGCATATGTACCCACACTCGCACCCACCCAGCCACCCACACACACACACACACACACAAACACACACCCACACACATTAGCACACGTCCTCCTTACTATGCACCTTGTGACCATGTCGTCACCCTTCGGTCAGACTTGAACTCTGTTTAGTACCATGGTAAATCTCGTCCATGGTTCACTTGGTATGCATTCTCTAACTCATTTTCTGTCTGGACAGACTTTGACCTGCGCGTGATTCTTAACCGCGCGTTCACGTCCCGGCTAGGCAGTCTGCATTGTTCGGCGGCCGGAGTGGACGTCAGTGTTCTGGCCGTTCGGCCCTCGTATCTTCTTTGGACTAGAGTGATCTGTAAACTCCCCTTTGTAGAGGTCACTATTAGAGGCTTACATGATTTTCGTTTACATTTATTGACTTTCTTGTCATTACAATTCGTTTTCCGGGGTTTGGGCGTCGCTCTTCCCTGGCCTGGATACAGTTCAGATTTAACACTACTGAACGCTCTAATTGGTGGAATGTGGAACTGCTGAACTGAATGCCGGGCATTTTAAAAATTGAATCCACTTCATTGCGGGAGAGGCATGAAGTTGCCTTCTATGTTCAATGCAATTCTCAACCAACTGAATGAGGATTTTAAAGTGAAAAAATACCTTACGAAACTACGACGGTATGGGAATCTTGTTTGCCTACTTGGAAGACAGATCACATTCGTGATAGCCAAAGTTAATGGATAATGGTGTCGTTGACCTTCTAATCAAAGATGATCTGCGTTGTATTTTGTATCTATCCCTGAAATTTCGCTGCTGGGGGTTGTTTTAGAAGTAAAAACTGGAATTTTCAGCGGTTTGGGATGAAATCAAAATAATTGCACAGATTGCCGTTTCTCTACATTGAACTTTGGAGGCGAAAATGCTTCACGAGATTGCTGGTGGACTATTAGCTGGGTTTGTGCACTTTAAGTCTAAAGGGTTGAAATTAATCACTAGGACTATTGTTTGACTGGAAAGCAACGTCTACGTCAAAAATTATGATGATCGCATGTAAACAGGTACTTCGCATTTTCCATTCGTGATTCACAGTCTCTTGCGATTTTGAGTCCAGATTACAGTAGCCCCCCCCCCCACCATCAAGAAATACTAGCTGGGATCGCTCAAGTTGTTTCTTGCTGAGAGGCAGTACATTCGAGAAAGATGATTGGAAAAGGAAGTAGCTACATAAGTAGTCATTTTGAAGGGAGTTTTTTCTAAAAATAAACATCATTCGTCTTTCAATAGTTCTGTAAAATAAACTTAATCAGGGAGTGTTCTGGTCCATCTCACGAACTCTAGTAAGAAGACTCTTCTGTCTTCGAACCATCTCTTTTTATTGGGGATGTTGGTCCTTGTGCCCAGTCGTTGCATAAAATCAGTTGGCCCGACTGACGTGGCGACCAAGTTTTCTAATTGACCGGTGCTGAAGCTAAACTCCGCTTGACAGAATCCATCTGACACTTTATTCATTTACACCACTGATCCGCAGTCCTGTCGCTTGTGGTCCCATTGTCTCAAGGTTTGACTTCTCTGATCTGCTTGCGCATCTCGTGATTGACTGTGACGACGTTGGTCTGCTAGAGAGGGCAGGTTGTGTTGGCCACGAATCATTTAATATCCGGCAATCTCATACTTCTCTATCGAAACGGTTTCTTGGAATCGATGTAACAACATCTGACGCGTGTCTAAATCTCTTGAGGGTTGAGTAATATCCAAGAATCATTTCGTTTTTGTTATTCCACAGGGTGGACATAGTAGCCTTTACGAAGACGTATCGTCCCGTAAATCGAGTTACATCACGTTCATATGCAGATTAGAAGCTACTAGGGAAATGATAATAGCCTGGCTCAAATAAAGTTCTGAATGTGCATTACAGTGGTCCAATAACAAGAATTATTCGGACCTTGGTAGACAGTGTCTTGTTCCAGGGTCTCGAACAAGCTAATCATCATCTATCGCCAAAGTTGTTCTCTTAATCGATTTCAGTTTGTGATCGATTTTTGAGAAATCTCGGATTGTCACTTATGCCGATGACTATAGGTTTTCATCTTGCACCGGATGCACTGCATCATAACATTATTGTCAACCAGTCTTTTGCCTTTTTCATATCATAACGCTTTCCACCCACTTGAGAAAGGCTTCTTCTGTTTGACATGCTTCAAGATAACAAATCTGTTTCATCAAAACTGAGTGTGTCACGTGACTCGTGTGGTTACGATGCGTGGTCTCAAAGACCACTAAAATGTGATGCAAGAACGGCTCACTAGCATTGTGACTACTGTTCACCCCATCAGTGTCCCGGATCAGCTTGACAGGCGAACAATATCAGGATCTTAGCATGAGATGGAAACTCCCAAGCCCAATTAACCGAAGTCCGTAGTATTCTTATTACTGACTGATCCACACAAGATTCGGTCAGCTCACCAAACTCACTGGCTTGGCGATTTTAAATGATATCATATGCCTAGGCGAAATTACATAACTAATTTTGTTCCCGAGAATAAATTCACAAATGTATTTTATCCGAAGATGTTTCTCTTTGGAGGGTGGAAATTGCAGAAAAACGGAGGTGCGCTTTAGCATTTCGTGCACTACATAACTGATTCCATCAGTTTGCGCTGAATTAGTAGAACCGAGTGCAGATGCGTCTTGGCTAAAACTTATACGTGCCTCACACCAGTTTTCACGACCATTCATGAGTACATGATGGTAAGGAAACTGGATTACAAAGCCAAGCGATATTTGGTTGCTGTTTGTTCTCTGCTACCGCAAACAAATTACGGAATCGGACTCTATCTACCCCCTTCTACCCAATTGTACCATGTTTTGTTTGGCACACAGCCTGAAGTCAGGCGGATGTGATTATATATATATATATATATATATATATATATATATATATATATATATATATATCAGAAAACAAGGCGTAGGCGAACATATGTTTTCGGTGATTTCATTCTCAAGCCAATTACAATCACATTTATATGAACCAAATTAAGGGAAGGAAAAGGACACTTTT